TTTTTAAGGTAGTTTTAGTTGTACGAGTATCAGACAACCTCTGAGAGGTTTTGGGCTGAAAAATAACAGCGTCTTCCTCAGGCCTACTCTGGCCCAATTGGGCCTCAAGCACCGTTGGGACAACACTCTGTTTTGGTGTGTGTCTGCTGTGGTACACTGTCAGGGCTTTCACGCTGAGCTACATCCCTAGCCATTTGTAAAATTTGTTAAATTTGGAAACCAAGTCCTTAAGTCTCTTACGTTGTCAGGCCAGATTTGACCTTAGAATCCGGGCTTGGGCCACCACGCTGGCGTGCACGCACCTTTGGGTGAGAGCAGCTCTACTTTGAGGGGAAAATACATTTCAGCTGTGTTGATCTGCTAATTTACAGTGTATTGAAAGCATGTTTTTAACATAACTGAAGATGCTTCAGCGTTCTGTACAGTATCTTTAACAGGATATGCTATTGAATCTCAACTCCTGGAGCTACAACCCAACGTAACTTTTAAATATACTTTCAAGGTGAAAGTGATTTAATTCTCAATCTTTTCAAGGTGGATTCCACTAAGAATAAACCTTTACAGAGAAAGTTGTGTTTTCCCTGGGAGCAAGGTTTTTCCTACTTTTGAGTTGCTTTTTTTTGTTTGTGGTTTATTGTTGTTGTTTTTTGTGGTTACCGGGGATTGAACTCAGGACCTGCACTTGCCAGGCAAGTGCTTATTCTACTGAGCCATCTCCCCAGCCCCTACTCTTGAGTTTTGATCATTGTTGTGTTATATAGTAATTGTCCATTTTTAAAAAGAAATATTTTGTGGTGCTAGGAATAGAACCCAGCATTTTGGTGCTTGCTAGGCAAGCACACTAAGACCCCAACCCTTGAGTACAATTTTTTTAAAACCAGTGCTGCTGCCATACACTTGATTATAGTACTCTTAGAAAATAATAAAAATTATAGCTCCTCATACCAAAAGTACTTAGTAGATTATTACAGTGTACAGTATCAGAAATCTCATGAAAAAGATTTTTTTTTAACTTTTTGGCAAGAGCTAGAATTGAAATGGGGCTTCAAAACATGATTGCAAGCAAGAGTTAGATATTTCAGTTGACTGGAAATTGAAAAAATCAAATTAATACAATTATTGTAATCCACAAAGAATTCTTATATTTTTTTGCTACTCAAATGTGTCTGATTTTTATCGTTTCCTTTTTTTTTAATTAATTAATTTATTTGTGTGGCCAGCTCAACCCACCAGGGGGCGGGGCTGGCTGGCATGTGGTGCTGGGGGATTGAACCGAGGTCCCTTGTGCTTTGCTAAGCTTGTTCTAAGTAGGTGCTTTAGACCACTGAGCCATCTCACCAGCCCCTTATAGGAGGTTTTTTGTTGTTGTTGTTGTTTTGGCGGAACTGGGGATTGAACTCAGGCCGGTACACTTGCCAGGGTATCATTTCCTTTTTTAAAAAACTAGTTTTCTTGCCCAAAAAATGGCAGTATTCCCCCTAGCACCAGCCTAATACTGAGAATTAAACCCAGGGCCTTCACACTGAACTACATCCCCAGACATTTTTATTCTTTTTTTTTGGGGGGAAGGGGGTTAAGGTGAGGTGGGGGAGTCTCAATTACCCAGGCTGGGATCCAACTTGTGATCTACCTTCCTCAGCTTCTCAGGGTGCTGGGATTACAGATGTGCACTACCATGCCTAGCTTTTATTTTTAATTTGATCTCACTAAATGGTCTAAGCTAGTCTTGAACTTTTAATCCTCCTGCCTTAGCTTCCAGAATACCTGGAATTACAGGTACAGACCATACTCAACTGAATCAGCAATCTTCTGAAGTTGTATAACTAAAATGTGTAACCAAAGTCCACATAATATGTCTAAATCTTGATATTATCTTCAAAATTGGTGTAATGTTTCCTTTGATTAATGCTAGGTTTAGAAAATGATTTTTAGGTTTCCTTTTTTGTGTGTGTGTGCAGAGTCTCACTACACAGCCCAGATATCTGATAGTTGTATTTAGCTTCTGTCCTTGGTAATGTCTTTGATTATTATCAAAGCAGTTTTCATTTTAGCGCTCCATGACTCCTTCACAGGATAGGAAATAGAAACTAGTTGAGGATAGTATGATCAAGTTGAAAGAATGTTGGACTTGATTGGCCAAACACCAATGTGGTTTTTTTTTATCTAGGTTTGATAGATTGTTCCCATCCTGATAGATATTTACAAAGACCAAATAAAATGTCAGAACGTTTTTTATGATTTTTTAAAAAAATTTTATTGAGAAGCAAATAGTAGAAAGACAGTTTCAAAACAGGTCAGTAGGACAGTTACAATAATTAATACATTGCATATTGTTGTCTTCATAATGGTTATTCATAGTACAAGATGGAGATGTGCTATCCTGTCCAAACACTATTAGTACAAATCTTTCTCATTGAATTAAGAGAAAGTGGCTGTATATCTATCCTATTTTGTATATGCAGATACAAATGGTCCTTCATTTGTATCCCCTTTTTTTGTGTAGTTTTGTCAGAGATGGTTATTCCCTTGCCATTTAAATATTGTAGGTATGTGAATTCAGAAAAATAATCCAATATAGTCCAGTAGTCCATAATAGTAGTGGGTTGTCCATAGGACTAGCAATGTCAGAAGTTGTTGGCTTCAGCTTTTTACAGCTCAGCCTATTAATATGGCTTTACTTTTTATACCTTATTTTTATACTTTTCTGCTGGATGGTTAAGACCGAGATAAAGCAAGACCAATATAACAAAAAAAAATGTAACTTTTGTATCTGATAAGGTCAGTCAAATCACCTCAGGATTTACCATGAAACCCAGTACCTAGGTGTCTAGATCCTTTGTCACTGTCAGCCATATGGATGAGTCATGGCCATCGCTTCACCACTTTGCTCTCCGTGAAAGCCTGAGAGAATGTTTTCTCTCCATGTGACTCTCCTTAGGCACATTCTACATCTTTGATCACTTTCCTCTGTGGCTCCATAATCTCCTTGATCAGAAAATTTGGGACACAACTGAGTTACAGGATATTACAGTACAGATTCTCCTATATCCTGAGTCCTCACTGACCTTGAAAGGCTAGAGCCAAAATGTTGGCTGTCCTTGCAGCCCTTCTTTTCTCTAATTTTTGGTCTGCAAACTTGAGTTGTTAACCCTCCAGAAGAGAAGCTTAATGATATTATTACCCTATAACATAGGCAGTTGAGCTTACCCTATCTATCTGAATATTAAACATCTTAGACATAACATGGAACAGGTATTTTCCATCAAGTGTTGATATGTTAAACTTTAAGTCTCTACAGAATGTGAAGAAAAAAATATTTTAAAAAATATAAATAAACAATTACATATTTTTACACAGAAATTTAGAAATCTGATCACATATAGCATTGCAGCAGGACAGTCCTATGACATTTTTTTTGTTGTCTCATTTTCATTTATTACCCCTTTTTAAAAAAACATTTACTTGAGAGACAGTATGGCAGTAATTGGTATGACATGACAAGCAGTATGTATTTAGAAGAGCAAAATGAAGGGCCTTCCAAACATCACCCTAGTATTATACATTGCTATCTTCAGTGCAGTTGCTTACTTCACAGGTATCAGCATATATATAGTTAGTCAGGGTGAGAATCCTACCAATTAAGTGCTAGTTTCAAAAACCTGTTGAAGATTTTCAGGATCATTGCCTTAACCATCTTGTTCATATGAATGTATGGCTTTGCCCCTGTCATGTTTCCTAGCTTTTCTCCTTGCCCTCTCTTCGTTGTCTAAACCTTAATTTCTCGCTTTCCTTTGAATCGTGTTACACCTTTCTATTTTTAT